CCCGCCGGGCAGCCGCTGCTCGGGGTGCCGCTGCTCAGGCTGCCCTCGTCCGAGTCCAGCGAGCTGCCCCTGCCCGGCTCGCCCGGCCACTCGCTGCTGCAGGAGTTCTTGAGGCCCCTTAAGGACCGGGATGAGGCTGCAATGAGAGGAGCACGGTCTCCCTCACAACAGGGGAACCGACGCCAGGGTGTGGTCTGCGTCGGGGGTTACTGGTTCCACACCGCACGTTCCCTTTTCTCATCTCACTCAGTTACCCAGCCACCGGGACTCGGGCCGACAGGCATGTACTGCAGATACGGACATTTTTTACTTTTATTTATTTGAAATCTTAAGTTGTGGAATTTGGCATCTGTAGATGACCAATGACCAGAGCTCAATTATTTAGCTAGAACAGTAAGCTCTGAATTATCTTAAGGGCTAGGATTCTTGTTTTGCTGATGGATAAATTTAAAAGTTAGCTGCTAACAAATCTAGGTTCCCTTATTTCACTAAAGGACTGTAGTTTGACAAGTAAGATTACACTAAATTTCTGTGCTCACCTTCTCACCCGTTTATGCCCATGCTGCTCAGTTAAAGTAGAAAAATGTCTCTCTCACGAGAACTGTGTGCTGGAATTTCTAGCCAGCTTTCAGAGATTTAATATAAATACTGAATCGTGTGTGCGTGTGTGTTTAATTCCCTTCTCTTGAGTCAGAGGGAAACGGGTCCTCGGCTGTGGTGTCTGCAGACAACAGCACATTTTTGCCGGCTCTAGTTTGTTTTGCCAGTGGAGAAAAAATAGAAAATATACAGAAAGTTTGAAGAGGTCAAACTGTGACCAAAAAAGAAGAAATACATTTTGTAAGACTAAAAACAAGATCAGATATTAACAAAATAGTTAACATAGGAAGAAGGCTCTAAAAACTTGAGCTGAAATTTCAGAAACAGGCAAAAAGGTTAAGAACAGCGTGATTTGGAAGGTTTGCCTGTGGACTTACTAAGAATGAGTATATTAGGTTTCTTGATCTTAATTCACTAGGTATTGGCTTTCTAGAGGCCTTGCACTGTTCTGAGCACTGGGAACACCGCAGTGAGCAGAGCAGGGCCCTCGACTCTGGTACATCTCAGCGGGAGGGAGAGTATGAGCGATGAGTGTAGACTGTCAGCCAGTGCGGGGTGCGGAAGCTGCGGGGTGGTCATAGTTCATAAAAGGGGGGCAGGCAGTGAGAGGGCTTGGCTAGGTTTCTTAAAAGGAAATAAAATCGCCACACACACCCCCAGGCTGTGTACTGAGTGCCTGGCTTAGGGCTTACGAAGCCTCCCCGATGATTTACGGGGTGATGACGGGCTGCTCTGTCACGAGAGTAGATACCCTCACAGAGATGCTCGCAGCGCTTTCCTGAATAAACCCAGGGCCAGCGGAGCACTCACCTAGTTTGGCCGAGACAGGAACGCGGTTCTTCAGGGGTACCAGGCGATCCTTGCATGTTTTCTCCAGAGGGAATTCACACTTGATGTGACGCCTGAAGTTCTCCCTTAGAATAGATCGAATCACCTTGACGATGTTGGTTTTGCTTTCGTTGTCACTGGTGGGGAGAGAGAGAACATTGGTGGTGCCCACAGTCTCGTCCGGCCTCCCTTCCATGTCCCCTGGTCCTCCGGTGGCCTGTGACCGCTGTCAGCACAGACTGACAGCAAGCCACGCAGCCTCAGTGGGCTTGGTCACCTCACTTACAAAAGGGGGGGGGGGAACTGACAGTTCCTGAACTTCCTCTGAGCACTGAGATTTGGGTATATGTTTAGTCAGTGTGTCCTACTACACTTGCCGGTTTGGGGACGTCATCGACTCAGGAGGGCACTAAAACCCACTTTTAAAAGAACATAATCCTGTCTCACTCCCACTGGCCTTAGTTCTGGGGAGGCAGCGATACCTGCAGCAGAGCTGAAAGCTGGTTTCTGGCCGTCCTTCTACTTCTGACCTCGTGTGGATCAGCTCCCACAAGGAATTACTTTCTGTCCCTGTGTGGAAAGAAACAAGGAGCTGCAACTCCGCCACAGATTCTGTGGTGAGGAACACGTGTGAAGTCTAACGCTCAGGATTTAGTAACTTCTTAAAAAGTCAAATGCTCCCAACTCCCGGCTCATCATTTTCTTCTGTAGCTCATCCTCCTTAGGGCTTCCACACACACTGACAGAAAGTTAACTGCTTCTCAGTTACGTTGTACACTTCCTGAAGTTTCCATCCATCCTAGCACTCCCTCTCTGCCCCCGGATTCCATCTCTCTGGAAAAGAGGGTAAATGGGTCTCACTTTCCGGCCCCATTTCTTGGAAGGGACAGCAGGATGTGCTCAGGCGCTCGAGGTAAAAGGCCAGCCTGAAATTTGGTCACGGTCCAGGAAACATACGCACTTCTGGCAAAAACTGACCAGGGGCCCAAATGCCCTGCGTGCCTCAGCCTGCTCCTTCCCGTCGCCACGGGCACCAGAACATGGTGATTCTAGAAGGATCTCCCAACATCTTCCAGGGTGGGAGGCTTCTTCTCTTAACCTCAAGGAATTTTCTGGTAGCAAAATTTGCAAAAATTTACTAAATTTGTGGGCCTTTTTTTCTTTAACAGATTTTCGGGTATCTAGGATTTTAGAAAGACAAAGTTGCAAACTGTTCATAGTGAAAATAAAAAAACAGTGTAGAGCGGGATTTGGCAAAGAAGAGCTGTCCACTGGCCTTCATCCTCTCAAAAATCTGTAAAGACTGCCATAACCATTTCCCTTGCCCTCATTTTCCTTGCCTATAAAACCAAAAACTACCCCCAGGTTCTTCCCTACTCTTTCATTCCACAGTTTAAAAAAGTCCCTTAAAATGTTTTTTTTTTCTGGCATTTGTACAACGCGCAACAGTTACCTGCTGTATTCCCCAGTCTGACTTGAAGTGCGGATATGGGGATCAACCAGCGAAATTTAAACGGGTCCAGGTCGGCAGAGCTGTGTGCAGGCCGGGAATTCGAGGGCTGCGACAGGAAAGCCCACAGAGAACAGCGTTAGAGCAACTTGCTCCCTGGGGCGGGGGGGGGGGGGGGGGCACGTGGAGCTGCGAGCCATCCCTGGGGCGGGGCCCCTACAGCTGTGTGCGGCTCAGCGTGCGGGAGGGGACCAGGTCAGGCGTGTTCCCGGCTCTCGGACTGGCTGGGGATGGGGCAGAGTCGTGGTTTGGAGGGTAGAAAGTTCTAGATTTGGAGGGAAGGGTATAGCTCAATGGTAGAGTGTGTGCTTAGCATGCATGAGGTCCTGGGTTCAATCCCCAGTGCCTACATTAAAAATAAATAAACCTCATTATTCTGCCTCCCCCCAAATTTTTTTTAATTCTAGATTTTTAAGCAAGCATGACAAGCAAGACTTCCATGACTTTACATTTCCTCTAAAAGGAAACTGAAGTCACACAGACTGTGATGTGTGTGGAGCAAAACTGGGCCATTTTTAGGGAAAGAAAAGAAGAGTGGTTTTCTCTGTAGGCCCAGCATGGGTGTTTGTCTACCCCTTCTTTTAAAACAGGCATCTTCGGTGGGGAGAGCAAGAAATACCTTAAGTATCTGATCTGGTTTGTGCCCCCAGGAGTAAGCAGTGTCAGTCAGGGAAGCCTTGTGCTCAGCAGGCATCTCAGTTCAACCCCAGGAAGATACAGTCATGAAAAGGTAGCTGTAATTGAAACTAATTCTTGTCTTACCAATTTCTTTTTCAGTTTGCAGTTTTCTTTATAAACCAATATGACAGCTCTCTTAAAAACTAAAGGAAGGAAAAGAGAAAGAAAAGTCTTTCATTATTTTATACAAACTCAAACTCTCCCAAGGCTGAACTATAGCTGAATGTTTTAATAGAACTCAGCTCTTCAAGCAAGACGCTCCAAGATCCCATGACGCTAACTAACACGAGTGAATAAATGGTACTTCCTCCGTCTGCATTTGAATTATGCACGAGTCTGCTTATGGATAAGCTACTATCTGAAGGAGATCCTGGCATTTGGGTTTTTCAAACCTTGTTTTATTGGAAGCTGAGGACATGGTGTTCATCTCGGTGAGAATACACAGTCTAGAGCCACTCTCCCGGCTCCTGGTGAGAATTGGGGTGTTTCGAAGTACAGCAAACTACTGAGATAGCAGGTTTCAAAAGAGCCTCGGGAGATGGGTTCCTGCGATGCTTGGCAGGAACACTGAGCCAAGCAGCAGAAGGGGGCGATAATGAGCGCGCGGG